CTTGATTCTCTTCACGTGGCAAAAAACAGGTCTGCTGTAGTCCCAGCTCACTGGGAGGCTGAGGCAAGAGGATCGCTTGAGCCCAGGAGTTCTAATCCAGCCTGGGCAACATAGCAAGGCTTTGTCTCTTAAAAAAAAAAAAAAAAAGAAAGAAAGAAAGAAAAGAAACAGGTCTGGGCTGCAAGATCTCTGCTGAGGCCCCTCCTAGCTCAAGAATTCTGTGCATGTCAAAGGAGCTGAGAGGAGATCTAGCCCACTCCTCTGCAGCTTAGAATCACACTGCCTACAGCAAGGAAGAGGCTGATCCTTAACTAAAGGTGCAGAAATAAGTATGGACTTTTGTTTTCTGTAGTTTCCTAGATGGTTCAAAACTATTTTTATGCTTATTATTTCACATACATAGACACGTTTTGTGGACCACTATTATAACTATAGACTCACCACTTTTCTTTAAACTGACTATTGTTTATTCATTCAGTAAGTATTTTCCAGGTACATACTCTGGAGAAAATAGTGTGTTCAGTAAATCAAATGCGAATCTCACCTTACAGGCTAGAATCAGGTGATAAAATCATCCGCAATCACCAGACCTGTGGAGAGTTTGGCCTGCCTTATGTGGGCATGTCTGGTGGGTGGCCAGGGGTCAGACCTGCCCCTGAGTGCCAGTGTCTTATCGCCCCAAGAATCCTCCCATAATCGTGGTCTTCTGGGGGACTTCATGGGAACAGCACTCTGGGGAGGGGTCTTTGGAGCACAAGCGACCTATCAGAGAGCTCGGCCCAGAGATCTCAGGTTGCATCATCAGAATGTGATTCACAGGGAATAGGAAGCTAACATCTGAATACCAAGTGAATACCAAGTGTCTACGCTGTGTTGGGGCCATGCTCACGGCCGGCACACATGTTCTCTCATTTAATCCCTACCATGGGAGCATGGCAATTATGTGAACTTTGACTGTGGCTCTCAAGGGCGAAGGACTCTGTCCAAAGGCTGCACACCAAGAAGTGGCAAAGTCAGAATCTGAACGGAAGTCACATCTCAAAGCCCAGACTCTTGCTCCTACAGCTCGCTACATTCTGAAGGGCCAACACAGAGGCAAAAACAAGCTGACCATGCCTGATTATCTCCTCTGAGTCTCAGAGAACGGCTAGAGGAAATAAATAAGCTAACATAGGCAGCGAATGGAGCCATGGTCGGCATGTGCAGGCAGGATCTAAATGCCATCGATTATTATCACCGCTGCTCACGCCCAGTGCTGGCCTTTTAATGTTATTAAGAATCAACACAGGCCGGGCGCTGTGGCTCACGCCTGTAATCCTAGCTCTTGGGAGGCCGAGGCGGGCGGATTGCTCAAGGTCAGGAGTTCAAAACCAGCCTGAGCAAGAGCGAGACCCCGTCTCTACTATAAACAGAAAGAAATTAATTGGCCAACTGATATATATATACAAAAAATTAGCCGGGCATAGTGGCACATGCCTGTAGTCCCAGCTACTCGGGAGGCTGAGGCAGAAGGATCACTCAAGCCCAGGAGTTTGAGGTTGCTGTGAGCTAGGCTGACGCCACGGCACTCACTCTAGCCTGGATAACAAAGTGAGACTCTGCCTCAAAAAAAAAAAAAAAAAAAAAAAGAATCAACACAGAGAAATACTTACATTTACTCACTGAGGGATTGCAAACTTTATGCTCTTGTGAGGAAACTATTTCTTTTGTTCATTTTTATGCCATGGAGTTTCATTTATTATAGGATACAATTTCTTTTCTTCCTAACACAATTTTAGGCAAAACCCAGCAACAGGGAAATAAATACAATTAAGTAAAGGGCCTCTGAAGCTACACTGAACTTAATTCCTGACCCTAACAGTGAATTTGGTTTCAGTGTTTGAGGATGGAACAGAAGGTCCCAGTTGCTGCTTGGAGGAGGTTACTACTGAGGAACGTAAGCAGGGCACTGGAGGCGCCTGGGCTGGCAGAGCCGCTTCACTGGCAGAAATCTGCCTCCCTCGTTCCCTGAGAGCAAGGCACGGCCTCCCCATAACCCCCTAGTCCCCTCTCTTTGGGGTGGAACCTTCTTTCTGATTCATTTCACATTAATGTTAGGGAACATCACGTGGTTCTCACTCTGCCTGCACCCTTTCTCGTCTGAAATTCTGAAACGCACTACCATACTTATACCATTTCCACCCAAGTTATGACATTTCTACAAAATCTTGTCATTCTTCCTTACTCTGTAAATGAGTCTATAGATAAATGCCTTTGACATGAATTTTCTAGAGAGGCTTATGAACACTGTTTAAGATAGTAAAATACTAATCTGGTAGGAAAACTGGCTATCTTATCACTGCTACACTGAAAAAAGTTCTTTGATTCAATGGGTTTAAAAAGTATAGTTAACCTGTAGTAACTACCTCTAGTAACTACCGTTACTAGAGTTTTCTATCATTAAAAGCCCCAAAGCAACAGGGTCCTTCCTGGTCTATTCACTGCCACCACGTGCGTTACAACAGTGAGCACTAGGTGGCGCCACATCCCAAAGCAGAGAGAGACGTGACATTTTATTCCAAAACATCTGGGATAAAAAAACATTTATCCCAAAACACACAGAAAGACATTTTTCTTCCTCAAACCAGGAAGCTGGAGCTGAAACCTTGGGTCACTTAGCACTCATTCTTTGAAGTACATATTTAAACCATAATGAAGTCTTGTTATGAAAGGCTCCTTAATATTTATACTTATCGGTTTTATTTCTTCAGCTATCCAATGCTGGCCGCGAAGCTTGTTCTATCAGTTTTTGGTTTGGTTGTAATTAAGAAACCTAACACTTGCGAATGCAGCATTTAAAAATCTCTGAATGTCCACTCAAACATTCCCAGTGGCCTGAGGCCGGCCAGAAAGGACAGGGCTCTGCTTCGTCCCGGGGTGGGAGGGCCTGCCGGGGGCACGGCTGGGCAGCTTGCCGGACCTGCCTTTGACAGCATTCTACACAACCCAGAAAACTTTGCTCTCCTTTACGTATCTTTCTAATTAAAACAAGCCATCCATCAGTTCCAACGTTGCTTTTGCTGGGATTTTGAATGGCCCCAATTAAACTTTACTCACAACACAATAATTTCTCATTCTTTTCAATAGAAAAAAAACAGCAAATGGAAGAAAAAAAGACCATTATTTTCAGATCTGCAATCCCACAGCACAAAATCCAAAATTCAATTCCTAAGACAGATGAGACAGAGGCTGGGGTGTCATGATGGCTCCAAGCACATTTTCACAATGGAGCCACGGAGCCACACTCAGCGCCGATCCAGGCAAACAGTGCTTGCTGTTCAGACAGGGATCTTGATAACTGTAACATACTCAAGAATATCCAAGAAAGTGACCAAGACTACATATGATGAAACAAGCCCGTTAAATCAGCAGGTCGCACAGGGAAATGACAACGCTGTCACCTCCACCCAGGGGGAAGTGCAGAGTGTCCGGCAGACAAGAGGACCATCAGGAACTGCACTAAAATGTGAGCTTCCCACCAAGTACATTGCTCTGTGGTCCAGACATAAGACTAGGCTCTGACTTTTAAAAAGCTGGACTCACTGCTAAACTGCTATTTGACCCAGAATTCTCCATCACCATTTGAGTTTCACATGTTTACATGCATTAAAACCACATTCTAATACACGTAAAATTCTCGAGTTCTATCCCCTTCCTGCAAATTAATCCACATTTATGAACAACCACTTAGAAACCTATCCTTGAACATAAGGCTTATGCTTCTGATAACTGAGAACGTATTCCTAACCGCACCACTGGGAAGCCTACTCCATTAAAAATAGAAGCCAGCTGGGCGCAGTGGCTCATGCCTGTAATCCTAGAATTTTGGGAGGCCAAGAAGGGAGGATCAACTGAGGCTGGAGTTGGAGACCAGCCTGGGCAACATAGTAGAGCAAGACCCTATCTCCAAAAAAGAAAGAAGCTAAGGTTTGGGGTTAACTTTTCATTACTATACACAAATAAAAACTAAACCTAACTATCTCTCTAGAAATCCAATAAAGGTGGCATTAATTAAACCAAAGTAGCAGGTAGTTTGAGAAGGGCTTTCACTTTTCACTACTCATTTCTTAGGAACTCTCAATAGCGGATGGAGACCTAAAACATATTATAAATCAATTTCTTGTACCTACCTAGTCTGGCAATGTTTCCAAATTTTTACCCATGAAGCAAGAGGCTGTTATGATATTCTTAAAAGAAAGTACTTTGTACTACTCAGAAAACTAACATTTACTCTGGGTGTCCTAAAACTGCCATCAGTCACGTTTCCAAAGTGCTCTGCCCTCAGACCCGGCTGGCACTGCAGGCGAGACTGGTGGGAAAGGCCAGAAATGGGACTGGAGACCAGGCCGGCGCCACTGCCTGTCTCCAACAGGGTGCGGGACCGGCAGAGACCAGGTTTCCAACAGACTGGGAATTATTATATTCAGGTCATTTTCATGCCTTTCGTCTGTAGCCAGCTCTGCAGGGACTTCTTAAGCATTAGAATTAGCCAGTTTTAAAATTAAGAGACGGACCTACAGCCCAAGTTACTGTCATATTTGTAGAAATCTAAACCAAGTTCCAGAGTTGTTAACAAGTGAGGCTGTTTCTGAAAATTAAAGACAAGAAGGCTAAATACTTCAAAACTTAAATAATTATTACAAGTAAAACAAGTGACTTGATGGAACAAAAAATTTACTTGTGCATGTGCACGTGTGAACTTTATGACCAGAATCTGTGGATCTCAAAGGATAATTTGTTCAGTTGGAATATTTCTTGAAATTTGTAACTAAGAATCTGAAAATTTCAAAATAACTAAAAGTTCTGATGTCAGGTACGCGTAGTATATGTTTATCTTTCTTCCCAAGTAGTAGTTTAACATAAAGTAACCAACACAATGGATACTGCACTTTATATCAAGAAATGACTCTGTCTCAGCTATGACACACTTTGGCACAATGTCACACTCCCAGGCGACCTACCTGAATGGGTCCCACGGACATCAGCAGGCTCTTGAGCTGGGCGTCGGTGGTGGACGAGGACAGCCCCTCCACAGACACCACGCAGGGCTGCGGCTTGCACTCCACCACCCGCAGGTTCTGCTTGTTGGGCACCAGGCGTCCCCGGCCCATGGGACCGGCCACCCCTCGGCCCCGCCCATGCATGATGGCCTGCCAACGACAAAGGAAAGGTATCCGTTCTGAACCTGGGCTTCTTCCACAGCTACTAAGATAACGAAAGCTAGCAAGTAACTCAGAATTCATTAAAACATACCATGAGCTACAGAATTTTCTGTAGTTTCCTATCCCCTATGAGAAAATGGTTTAATATGTAAATGAGACAAAAATACCCAGCAAGTCTAGGTGGAGGAACAGGAGGGAACTGACAAAGCCCGAACCTCTCTGGGTGCCTGCCATGCAGCTGTGCTCCACGGCACTCCCGGTAACAGCGTCCTTGTGCAGATAAAGCACCATGGGGACTCAAACCCTCTGCTAGAGACACAGTTAAGGATTCAAATCCAGAGCCCAAATTTCTATCATCATCTTACAGGCCGGGCTCAGTGGGACCTGCTGGGTGCCACGGCTGCCTTGTGGACCCAACTCGTCTCGTGAAGACTCACGTTTGCTGTCCGCAAACCCTCAAAGGCACATTCTGCAACAAGGCTTTCAGCCCTAACTGCACCCTGTCATCGTCAGTAGAGCTTTAAAAACAAACCAAAAATCGCTGCAATGACCGAGTGTGCCGTGCCCCCCCCCCCGTTACAATTTTGCTGGTCTAAGCTGGAAGCTGGGGTCCCAACATTATCATTTTTTAAAGGTGTCCAGGGTCCAAAATCCCTACTCTTTAAAGAGACAGCTGCAATTTCTAGCATTTTCTCCTAATTAGGAAAAGAGAAAACACTTCTGCCCAACTTCTCCAGCTTGGAGTAACACTGAAATACACAAGGCCAAACAGCAGCGAACAGCTCTAGGTTTTCCAGATGCCCCACCCTCACTCTGTTCCAGAGTTGGGTAGAAAGGGACAAAAATGGCCTCCCAGTCCCTCACAGAAAAGGGCAGAGAGAAAGAGAGGTGGAAACTAGAACTGAAGCTGAGGCTGTGAATGTCCACCAACATAGAGGGAAACGAAGAAACACCTCGACGTCTCTTAATGCTCTGCAGGTCACAAAACCACTCGTATCAAGTGAGTTTTTAAACAGTACAAAGAGAGATTTCAAGAGAAACACACATCAAAAGTTGCAAGTTACACTGGCTGGCAACCAACAGTCAAGAATTATTCATCTGTGCTAGCTGTAATAAGTTATGATATTAACAATAATATCCTTTACCAAACCTTACTTATATGCCAGGCACTAGGGTTGTTTTTTTTATATGTTTCCTCTCATAAAAGCCTCACAATCGCTCAAATGAGGTAGGAAATACCAATATCGTCATTTATAGGAGAGTAAAAGAGGTTTAAAAGAAAGAAACTCAAGTACTTTATGTATGCGTCTGTATGGGGGTGTGTTTTCTAAGGTCTTTCTCATCATATACTCAGGGCTAACACCTCAATAAAGAAAATTCATATGAGAACGATCTTTAAAGACTGTATCACTTATCACTGGAGATGACACTGCATGATCAACAGTAAGTGTCAATACATCTGTCTCCTGCTACAAAATGGAATAATTACGTCTGTTCCCCTATCATAAGGTGTTAATGAGATAATACATACAAAGAAATTTCAATACTTCAGGGAGATTCCAAATAGTCTTTTTTTAAAATTCAGAGATGGTGTCTGACTCTGTCGCCTGGGCTGGAGTGTAGTGCTGTCATCACAGCTCACTGTAACCTCAAACTCCTGAGCTCAAGTGATACTCCTGCCCTAGCCTCCAGAGTAGCTGGGACTACAGGTGCACACCACCACACCTGGCTAAGTGTTCTATTTTTGGTAAAGATGGGGGTCTTGCTCTTGCTCAGGCTGGTCTTGAACTCCCAACCTCAAGCGATCCTCCCGCCTTGTTCTCCCAGAGTGCTAGGATTACAGGTGTGAGCCACCGTGTCCAGCAGAATGGTCTTAATGTTAATATGACTGCTTAGTGGCAAGATGAGCAGGGATGAACTAGTGGGCTTCCAGTCCTCCTGCAGGGAGCACAGAGCAGGGGAGCTGCCTCCCTCTCTCCCATACTACAGTTCTGTCACACGAGCAGTGGTGGCTTCTGCATCACTGCTGGGCCATTCTTATCCCTCCGGCAGAGACGTAACAACTTTGGGAGCCTGAGAAGATGCTTCCTGCTGGAAGCTGACGGAAGGGGCACTCTAGCTAAACACGTGGCAAGGCAGTGCTTTTGGAGCACAACAGGCAAGCACTCACCCCCAGAGGAGGGCTGAGGTGCTGCCTCTCTGACAGACTCAGCTCAGAGAGACACCCTCTACTCCACGGGTCAAGGGAAGGATTAAAGGAACTGTGTCCCTGCCACTTTCTTGGGCTGGTTACTTCACCTCCAAAGGCCTCAGTTTCCTCTCTCTGAACTGGGGCTGTGACTATGAAATCAGTGAACACACACCTGACTCCATAGCTAAGTCTCCAGTGAGCCAGCACATAAAGAAAGGACAGCACGCCTGTGTTGGGGCTACACGCGTGCACACGCATGCAGACACGCACCGTGTGGCTGTCTGGAGGGCTCGGATGCTGCTGAGCCACCAGTTCAGAGCTGCAGGGAACCAGCCCCTTCTTCGTGGGGGATTCACTATGGAGCTGTGCCATTAAAGATAGTCAGGAGGGGACCAGGGTTTGGTGAAAAACGCTACTGTGTTTTCAAGGCCAGAACAAAGGAAATGATGGCACATTTACCAATCCTAGCACCACCACGAGCCCGGCACCACCCGTCAGACAAACTGTCTTCGGTCATGACTCTAACTACCAGGCCACCCCCTGCACTGGAACCACGGCCTCACAGCCCCGTGCCGTGGGCCCGGTCACGAGCAGTACCTTCTTTGCCGGATGGATTCCTTGGATGCTTTTGATCCCTGGAGGGACAGCCGAGTGTGCATGGGGTCCCGGTGGCAGGTGTGGGGGCTGCTGGAGGCCCCCCCGGGTCAGCGTCACCTTGCGGGCAGGCTGTGGTCCCACTTCTGGAGGCTGAGGAAGCCGCTGGGGCTGGCCTTCAAGGTGAAAAAAGCCATCGCTCTCTCCTCCCTGCTGAAACCAAGAAGGCAGCGTGGGGTTCAGTGTCTGCTCCGCCAGATGCTCCTCCCTCGTCAGGGAGCCCCTCAGTTAGCATGCACCCAGGAAGCAAAGCCAGTTCAAGCAGTGTAGACACAAACTTGTCATCTCACTAGAGCCAGTAAGGACATTTCTCACTGGGCAGCGGTTAAGTTTTAACAATATTTTTGAAATTTAAAACAGTAAGATCTCTTTTAATTACTGTATTCATTTAAGAGGCCTGTGATTAAAATAACTGCTATTTAATTCAGTGAAATACTGTTTAACTTTAAAAATACTTCATATTCAACATGAGTTTTTCATTTACAACATACATTATTCATTTTCAAGAGCCTTCTTATTAAAATCTGACAGTCTGCATAAGTAGTAGTTTTAAACTTAACCCCTATTCAAACCCAACCTGCGTGGCAATCAGGCCAACCCTGGGGGTCACGGCTGCAGCTCTCGGCGTTGTCACAGTGCCCTCCCCTCCCCACCCGCTCCCGTGGGTACCACAACTTCACATATTCTGTACTTTTTAATACCGTGTTCATGAAGTCTGTAAGAGGAGCATTCCAAAACCACTCGCCAGAAACCCCTTTCCTTCTGCGGAGAGCTACAAGTGCCATTAGCAACTGCAGGGCAAGCGCATTTCGGAGGAGTGCATTTACTCCACTAAGAACTTTAGGCCTATCGGGAATCTCACCTTCTGTGTTTTAGGAAAGTTCCCTCATTTCTTGTCCCTAACACTTGTTAATCAGTTAGGAAGGAGGTCTACATTCAAGCTGTGCTACTGATGTTGCTCCTACCACCAGGCAGCAAGAAGACATACCTCTGGACAGTGCCTAGCCACTTTTGGTATTAGAAGTAGTGCCTTTCCAGAAGAGTAGCAGGAGGCCAGGAAAGAAAGGGTGGATGGCAAGGACATCAGATCTTGCCCTGCTAAATTATGTAATCCTAACAGAAATGGATGCTGGAACTTGAAAAGGAAGATTACGGCTTTTACTAGCACGATGCCTTCTCTTAACATCAACAGGGATAGGCAGCGTCAGTCACTGCTTAGTAAAGCACCCTCACCTGGGAGGCTCCGCTTTGCCAGTTTCTCCAGTGGTACCTGGCAGATCAGCTCAAAGGAAGCCCACACAGCCACGCCCTGCTCTTCCCCCTCAAACACATCTCTCAGAGGCCATTTGATGGGACAAAGGGCTCCACGAAGAGAAGGAACGGGACTGGAGCAAGGTGGGTGTAACAAGACTTTCGCTACAACTGCTCAAGGTAACAGGGACCCAAGAAAAGAGGAGATGAAGTATCACAGGCAGTCAGGACTTCTGGCTATGGCAGCATGAAAAGGGCTGCAAATCTTCTCTCCCCACAGCAAGTACAACTGCCCGAAACAGCCACGTCAGGACCCCGGAAATCAACAAATGTACAACAACAAATGGAGAAGCACTTATTCCCGGGATGTGAGAACAGTGCAGTCCACGGCCTCCTGGCAGACACAGCCGTGCAGCCGCAAGGGGCTGGGCAGGAAGCCCCACAGCAGAGCAGCACGGCAGGAGGGTGGCACACTCGCCGGGAAGGCTAGGGACCTCAGGGATCTGTGAGCCTCTGGCGCGTTCCTGTTGGAACAAGCACCAGACCAGCCAGAAATGTGAGAAACCTAATGAGGAGATTCTGGAACGGAAAGAGCCACAGAAGGCCTGGAGGAGCTGCGCCCACACGGCTGCCTGGGAAGCTGGCGGGAAGCTCCAAACCAATGGCCAAGGGTGGCCGGGCAGAGCCCCGGCCCTAAGCACCATCCCTTCCCAATCACTGCTGGCCACGAAACTACGCAGCAACAGGGCTAAGGAAGCCAGGCTAAGAAATAAAAATACTGAACAAAGCCAAACTCAATGAAAACAAAAATACAACCATCAAAATTTAGGGGATGCAACTAAAGCAGTTACATCAAAAGGGAAAAAGATCTAAAAATCAATCATTTGAGGCCGGGCGCTGTGGCTCACGCCTGTAATCCTAGCTCTTGGGAGGCCGAGGCGGGTGGATTGCTCAAGGTCAGGAGTTCAAAACCAGCCTGAGCAAGAGCGAGACCCCGTCTCTACTATAAATTGAAAGAAATTAATTGGCCAACTGATATATATATAAAAAAAAAATTAGCCGGGCATGGTGGCGTATGCCTGTAGTCCCAGCTACCCGGGAGGCTGAGGCAGAAGGATCACTCGAGCCCAGGAGTTTGAGGTTGCTGTGAGCTAGGCTGACGCCACGGCACTCACTCTAGCCTGGGCAACAAAGCGAGACTCTGTCTCAAAAAAAAAAAAAAAAAAATCAATCATTTGATGAGCCTCTACCTTCTTTACCTCAAGCTAGTCCCCCTCCCTCATAAAAAGGAAATCAAACCCATAATGCGAGGAAGAAGATGGTAAAGATCACAGCGAAAGGCAATGACACAGCAAACAAAAAATAGAGAAAATTACTGAAACCAAAAGTTGGATTTTTTGAGATCATCAAAACTGATACTCCTTTAAGTACAATGAAAAAAGGAGAGAACACAAATTAGCCAAAGCAGGAAACAAAGCGGCTCATCAAAACGAACCCTGCAGAAACTGAAAAGTTATCACAAATAACTTTACAGTAACACATCAGACAACTTACATGAAATGGCCATCAATAAAAGACACGGGCACCAAAACTGACACACAAAACAGAGACAAACTGAACAGACTTCTAAGAGGTAAAGACACTGAATTAATAATTAAAAACCTATCACAAAAACACAGGCCCACACAGCTTCACCACTGAATTTTTTAAGGAAGAAAGACTATCAAGCTGACACAATCTCCTTCAGGACACAGAAGAGGAAGAAGCAACTTTCCCTCCAGTTCTTTGAGCCTGGTGTTACCCTAATACGAAAGCCAAGAACGTCAAAAGACAACTACAAAAAAACATTCTTCATAAACATGCATGAAAACAAACCATTAAGTAGTAGCAAACTAGATCCTGCAACACAGAAAGGGATTACATATCATGACTAAGTAAGATTCATCCCAGAAACACAAGGCTGGTTTAACAACCCAGATTAATTAATGTAACATGCCATTTGAGCAAAGTAAAGGACAACGTGGTCATCTGCTGTCGTCCTGCGAGGGCTGTGGATGACTAAACCCCCCAACACTTGGTGACTCTATAACGTATCTAATCATTGCCTGACACGTGTTGATCTGACTGGGAGTCGTTCCTCACAGAGGACACCCCTACCAAATGAAAATGGTGGCTGTGAGATGGCAGACCACCTGCAGGACCAGGATCCACACAGAAGCTCAGGCTGGTGGTCTGTGCTTCTTGAAACTTCTCCACGTGGTCCTGTACCCAAGGCACGAGCAGAGATCCCATCCAGGCAGGGATGGCCTATTCTAAGTGAATACTTCTTCAAAGTCTTTATCTTAAAAAGCTATGTGAATTCTCTCTAGCTTTGTATATGCTTGAGATTTTCTATACTAAAAAATTTTTAAACTTAAGAATATATAACACATATCCTCATCTTTTTTAAGAGCCAGTGACCTATCATTATCTAAAATCCTGTTGAAATGGTGTTTCCTGGATGTACAATCTTAGTGCCAGACTCACAGCTTCACTACGCGTGTGTTCAGTCACACTGTCACTAGAAACATTTCTCTTTTTCAAGCCTCAACACTTCACACCACGTCAGACCACGGAATCCTCCACCCTGGTCAGCTACAGGACAGCTTCCTGACTGCGATTCTCCCGCTTCCTCCCTGTTCGCTAAGGTGGACAAGTGAGTGGACCACTAAGGTTTGCTCTCTCAGAAGGACTTCCGGCATACAGATGTGAGTAACGCAAATGAGCTCCCTGGTAGCTTAACCTACCAGGTCTCTAATGACACCTACAACATACGCATCTCAGAAGTGTTCTAGAGAAACCAGTGGTTTAGACCCCAGTAAGTGCTTTGTGCACCATGCCAAAATGTCTTGTGCATAGAGAAAGCACTGAAACATTTATTGAAATAAGTCAATGAATAGTAGGCTGTACTTTTAAAAGCTGAATAGTTCTGAATGTGCTACCAAAAAAAAAGAGTACAGTATCAGAATACGAGGTTAAAGCCACTGTCATTCAGTACATATGTATTCACTAACAGTCACCATGATAATGAAAAGGCTACCTACCCTTCAGCCTAGCAATACCATTATGTGGATCAGAAAATACCATGACACACTGCAGAAACGGATGAGACAGCACCCCACACCTAAAGAAAACAATGCCCAAGTAATATGATGGACAAAAAGATGAATACTCTGGTCATTGTTTCTCTAGCAATCCAAAGCTATTATAAAAGCAATATGACCTACAGACTCAACTTTAAAAAGAACAGCTTGCACCAAAAGTAGGATGTCATTATTTACCCATTTTAAGGCATGTAATGGGTATATGTATTTGAGTGATAAACACAAACACTATAGTAGTCCAGTAATTTTTAAACTGGGAACTGAGAACATAAACACTGAGTCACTGAACACACTAAATAATAAAAATTCTCTTTTTATTTTGAATAAGAAATTGGTGATAATTTATGTCTGACAATATTAATGTCAGGTAAAAACTCTGAGAAACAAAGTTCTAAACTTTTATCTTCCTTTCAAGGAAAGCTTACTTTTTAAAGTAGGCTAAAAGTTCAGAAATACAGATATTACAAAGTCTTTCCTCATCTCTTTCCAGAAGAACTCAGATTTACTTATGTGGATGGAGTATGAGATGCCGTAACATAACAAAGGAGTCCTGATGTCATGCTCCCTTAGGACGTCCTGAGAAACGGCCCGGAAAGACAGGAGGTAACGTCCACGAGGAGACAGCCGCCGCGGATAGAGATCCGACCTTCCACTGCCCAGTGCAGCCAGGCTTGCTTTGGGCCTGTCCCGTTATCGCGCCCTGCTCAGGAAGCTCCAGGCCAGCGGCTTGCCGGCCCACTCACTCATGGAAGACCCTGG